ATCCTGTTAGGCAATCAGAATTCCAAACAACCCAATCCAGTAAAAGAGGAAAGAAAAGAGGGGGGAACAAATGGAGGAAAGAAATCCATACTAAATGCTTTGAACATTTATATATAGCAGGATGTGCATGACACAAATACTACATCTGAGCCACACACAAACAAGTAACTGACACCAGATGAGTTTTTAAGCTAATAAACACTGCAAAGAGAAAGTGAAGTCCTGAAAGCCGTGGTCAGGTGTGCCAAGTCCTGTGCTCCATACATGTCACTAACTAGTCATTCATATCCTTGGGCTATTTCAGTAGGTCAATGAAAAATGCTATCTAAAGCAGGCTTGATGTAGAATGGGGTTCTCAGAAGACTATGCCAGGCTTCCACAAACCTAAGCAGCTAGGATTTTAGTGCCATTCAAAGCTGCTTTCTAGTCTGGGACAGTGAGAGGTAATAAGGTTAAAAAGAGTAAGAGATAAAAGTCTCTTAACACTTTTTCAGTAAGCATGTCAATAACTGGTTGCTATTCCCTACAGTTCTGCTTTACTGGAGGCAGAAATTGATTAGGAAAGAGTGTCTTCTTCAAGCTTGGACTCCATTACTTTCCCATGATGTCCTGTGCCTCATAAAGGGTTATTAATCATTAAGGTTATTAACCCTAGAATGAAAAAGACCTAAGAGATGACTTCCACTATGCCAAGCATCACATAATTTGTGTACTTACAGGAAAAAACCCCCCTAATTTTTATACCTCATTTTTATTGGGAATAATTTTCTCTTCAATATACAGGGTGGGGCAAAAGTAGGTTTACAGTTGTTCATATGGAAAAAGTACAATAAACTCACAACTGTAAACCTACTTTTGCCCTACCCTGTATTGTGAATATTAGTTAATTTTGTGTTTTAGTTTTTCTTTTGCATCTATTTAGTGGCTGTATAATTTTTCTTATTTAGTGGGGTAAATTATATTGATTGGTTTATAAATGTTAATAGCTTTGTATTACTGTTATAAATTAGCTTGGCTGAGATCTGTGCTTTATATATATCATAGCAGTTGATCTGCTAGTATTTTGATTTGATTTTGCCAAATTTTTACATCTATGTTCATGAGAGATATTGACTTTAAACTTTTACTTTCTTGTAGTTATTTTTTGTATTAGTTAATTTTTAAAGTGTCTGAAACTGCCCTGGCCAATGTGATTCAGTTGACTGGGCATCATTCCACAAACTGAAAGGTTGCAGGTTCAATTAAGGGCACATGCCTGGGCTGTGGGTTGGGTCCCTGGTAGGGGTGCATGCAGGAGGCAACTGATTGATGTTTCTCTCTCACATGGATGATTCTCTCCCTCTCTTTCTCCCTGCCTTCCCCCCTCTCTAGAAGCAATAAAAAAGGAAGGAAGGAAGGAAGGGAGGAGGGAGAGAGGGAACTGGAACTTAAAATGGCTTAGAATCATAATAATGCATGAGGCCTTATAAATACACCAGAAAAGGGAAGGGAAGAAAGCTTCTAGGTAATAACTGCTTCTGGAAACTACATATTTGGTCAATTAAATAACTTTATAAACTTAGTCAATGAGTGGATATTATATATTCTCTAGTGCACACTGCACATATGACTATCCAAATTGCTATACACCATTCTAAACTCCTCAATATCTCTATAATATTCCATATGCTTTCCCATAGCTATTACTAAAATGCTTTGGCCACTTTCTTGCTAATATTTTTATAGTATTTTGCCTGTGATAAGGTACAATTTTGCACTAGTCAGCCTTATTAACTTTCATGTACAAATAAGATACAGTTTTCTGAGATTCATATTCTAAGCACTTTATATCTAATTCTCAAAACAAGCCTATGAGATAGCTACAAGCAGCTTAGGAAGAACAGAGGGAGCAAGGGAGTTCACTTAGGCATTACTCAGCAGTGATCAGTTTTTATCTAAAATGTCCACATGCAGTCAGAAAAGTATCTGAAGGGACAATGAAACAAACACAAAATTTCCCATAATACTTTTTCATATATAATCTTTGCTTCCTATCTATAGAAGATGAATTCTGTACCCCTTCTGATTCAAGCACTCCCAAAATTGTTTCAAATATTATCTGCTAGTAAGAGTTCAAAATGAAGAGTAAATATAAATTTAAATCAGCAACTTTCTTTTAGACTAGACATAGATAATTTGTTGGCCTTGACACCCAGATGCACTGGGCTCCATTAAGTCACAAAAGTTTAAATGGCCACTAGAATGCTTCCACCATTCTCTGTAGGAACTTGTTGGACTTTTTAAAAAAACATTTCACTACCACTATTTGGAAGTTTCGAGAAGGCTTAAAAAAAAGTAAAATGGGACCGAGGTCAAAAGCTGCCAAGTATCCTGAGTCCTTCAATTTCAAGAAAGGCTAAAGAGACCATACTGGGAATGAACCTTCCTGAGAGGGTGTGAAAACATAATACACAGAGACTTGAAGAACCAGTTAGATCAAAGCTGTATGGGATTTTGTGACAAGTGGGAAATTATGGACCAAAAGCACTACTGTATTTTCACTGTAGCTCCTAGGAAGATCTGGAAACCCATGGGATTTTATTGTGCAGAAAGCTATTTAAAAAATGCTAAAATGACTTCAAAATAGGTGTTGCTATTCAAGAAGACTAAGTTTCCTTTTAGGTTAACTTTTGCAGGTCTTCACTGTTTCTCACTTGATTTATAATATTAGCATTCTAAGATATCCTCCACCTCTCCAATTCAACCTTTGTATTGTCACTAATCACTTAAATAACAGAGAACCTTCAACTGTTTGCAATTCCCCTTTACTCACAGGATAAAGTCTAGACTCCTCAGCACTGGGTCCACCCTTTTCTTTTTCTTGCTACTCTTCCAATGTGCCATTCACAGGCAGGTGCTCCTTTCATAAGCTCCTCCTGTTCCTGACCTAACACCTCTGTCTCTGTGGTGGTCAAATCCTAAGTGTACCCTGTGCAGCCCTATTTTTCTTAAACGCCATGCAGTTTTATGCTTTGTGTCCTTGCATATGTTACCCCATGTGGCTGGAATTACTTTCCTTCCATCTCCCCATTTCTTCTGCCTGATTAAAGCAACCCTTTAGGACTTGGTATTACATCATGCGGGAAGCTTTTCCTACACCCTCACCCTTCAGTGGATCAGGTGCTCTTTGGACACTGACTGCACTAGACTATGAACTGCTTTACCACTTTCTAGCTACATGACTTTGGGAAAGTTCATTAATTTCAATAAGCCTGCTTCTTTAGATATAGAATGTTAGCATTAACTTGATATTAATATAAAAAAGAATGTGAAAAATTTTGTAAATAGTAAAGCATTATGTAGGCATTAACAACTTTATCATTAGCCAAAAAACACACAGCATTCTAGATGAATATAGTTCTGTTGACCTAAGGGTAAGATTCAATTCTCCATTTTGGAAAGGATGCTTGGAATTTCATCCAACTTTCTGGGTCCACTAAGTCCTTGTACTTCTACCTTCAAAGGAAAAATATCTATAATCATGTCTTGGTCATCTGAAGAAAAGACTAAATAGGAAGCTCCTGAAGGATAAAGACTGTCCTTGTTTCCACTTTTCCGAATACCTTCCCAAGAGTATTGGGTTACGCACTGTACAGTGAAATGAAAGAGCTGAATGAAACCGAGTGAATACAGCACACCTTGTCCTTAGTAAGCTTACAGTCAAAAGGAGTGAGTGATGTGACAGATCCCATTATGAATCTGGCCATGTGAAATGGGTAAATACCTTCAATGTCATCTTCAAGTGTAGCAAGAAATTAAATGTCCTGCTATGCTTACTTTATTTGGGGATTTGATACATGTTTTAATTGCTATTTCAGTGACTCATGCTTAACATATGAATGTTCATATTATCTCAATCACTTATGCAATTCAATATCTACTTATTGAATATTTACTGCACTCTGCCCATAAAATGCTAAACATAGAAAGAAAGTTAGTCATCTATATATAATTAATATAAAGTTGAATGTTGTATGTGTGGAGAACCTAAGGCTAGTGACAATCAATGAAGACATGAGTTAGTGCACTGGACACTAAAAATTAAAACTGCATATTACAAATTACTGGTCGCTGATAGCTTCTTCTGCCATACAGCAGCTACGTATTTTGCTACATGCAATGGCAAACAGTTGATAGCCTTCCTTCTTAATATAATTATATACCTAACTGTGCTGTCGTCTAATGAATAGGGGCCCATTGTTAACATGTATCACCTGTATGTGCCAAGCAGTTTCAAGCCTTTTAGGGTATCATCTCACTCAATCTCGACAACAATCCTATGAGGTAGATATACGTATTTTACAGATGAGGAAATCAGGGCACAGGCCTTGTAATTTTTCAAAGTCGAGACAAAAATAAAAATAGGTAAACAAGGGCCTAGGAGAAAAATGAGTATTCCATAGAGTGGGCGGGTGCACTTGCCAGAACTCCATTACACTTCTCCCGAACGCACCCGGAGGGAACAACCTCTTTTCCTCTCCCGCCAGGTATTATTTTTTTTTCCCCTGGTCTGTAACTAAACTGTTGATTCTCGAGCAGATACTCTCAAACATTCTCACTCCAGAGGACAGGCTACTATTTAAATGATAGGCAGTTCAGGGTAAACGAGACCGAATCAGATACCCGGTGCACAAAGCTCAGGTAGAATCACGAGAAATTAAACCTTTTGGGCAGGGCATCCTTTCCTGGGTCGTCTCCACCGGATGGCAGCAGCACCGGCTCACCGAGGTGCTACCCCGGAGGTTTCCTCTCCACATGACCCCAGGCAGCTTGAATTCTGTAATCCGCTCGTTTACCCTTCACCTGCCGGCGCCGTCTACAGAACCACCTAACTGCTCGGACCACACACCAGGCCTCACGCGCCTCCTTTTCCGCGGAGATCAAGTCCCAAACCCACCGGGGTGCGTGTCGGCCCCTACAGAGGTAGCCCGTCCCGCTCTCTCCCCCTGCCGGCTACTCACGGTTCCAGTACACCGGGTAGCATTCTCCTTGGGTCACGTCCACCTCGTAGAGGCCGCCGCGCACACACACCCGCTCGATGTTCACCAGCTGCTCCATCTCAGGCTCGTGCCTCGCGCTGCGCGGGCAGAAGCCACAGACGCGGTCCTCCCGGTCGTCCTCCCCAAAACTGGAGGCCAGGCCCGTGGAGGAGGACGGGCCACACACATGGTCACGGTCGGGGTCCTCGTCCTGGGGTCGGCCGCCTGTGGCCTTCAGCAGGGTCCGGAAGGCGAGCTCGATGCGGAGCGAGTCGTAGCCGATGAAGGGCTTCCAGGTCTTCTTGTCCTCCTTGTAGAACCAGCGCACCTCCTCCGGGCCCAGCTCCGTCACCACCTCGTAGCGGTGCCTGGCGGCTGCACCGCCGGGCCGAGGTCGCTTCCTTTCCCCTGGACCCCCTCCAGCCGCCCCGCCGCCCCCCGAATTCGACGGCACCAGCGGCGACTGCTGCAGGGACAAGGAGCTGCCGCCGCCGCCGCTCTCGCCCTCACTGTAGTAGCGCAGCGAGGAGCCGGACTCCGCGGAGCTGAAGTCATAGTTCTCGTCACTGAGGCAAGGCTCGAGCGCTAGGTGGTGGTTGGAATCCTCCGCGCCCGGCGCCAAGTGCAGCCCGGGTTCCCCGCGCAGCAGGGCCAGGGGCACTTCGCCGTCGCCCGGGTCCCGGCTGGGCAGGTGGTCGAAGCAGCAGACGCTACCTCGGAACGTTGGGTCTGCCTCCGAGCCCAGCTCCCAGGCGGCGCCACCGCTGCCCCGGCCGTTATGCTCGAGGCTCCGCGGGGACCCGAGGCCCGAGTGATTCATGCTGTGGAGACGCTGCCGGCTGCTCGGCCCCTCGCCAAGCCGTGGTCCCCACCGCTTCCGCCACGCATTTAACGCCGCCGTCCTTTCAGCCGGGACTTCTTAATCTTTCAAATCCCGACCCGGGCTGCGGCGGCAGCAGCGGTGGCTCCGCCTCCCACGAGGGCCGCCGCTGCGGCCGCGTTCCGCCGTCCGTCTCATTGTCACGCAGCCTGACGTAGGCGTTGCTCGCCCCCGGCCCCGCCCCGCCCATCGCGTGCGCTGCCCGGAAGCCCGGTCTCCCTCGCCGCCGTGGGCTAGTCGTACCCTTTGCTGGCAGCTGGTTGGAGTCATCTCGGGGCGCGCGGCCGCTCCTCCGATTTCTCAAATTTCTTCTGATTCCTTTCTCTGCTCAATGCACCGCTGCCTCGGCCCAGCCTTCCAGAGGGTCAGAACCCAGATACGAAGAGGCCTACACTGATCTTTGTAATCTGGTTCAGCAGAACAAAGTTTCAATTAAGATACAGATCGAGAGGGCTCTGGTTGTTGGATTCTCCTGACCTTGGTTTTGTAACCTTAGACCCGCCTGCGGCCCCAGCTGGACCTTCTCAGTCACCTGCTTCTGGTCATTCCAGAATTGTCAGCCAACATGAGGGCACCCCACCCCAAGCCTCATGCCTACCAATTCCTATGGTCGGCGTCACCACTCCCACTCAGAAACCCAAGTCTAAACCTCCCTTCATAAGCCACCTCATATTATTGCTTATCTTTCGATATTTATTTTCTGTTTTCTCCACCTCATTGTGTAAGGCCCTTGATGGTGACAAAGTCTGTATGTGTCCACCTGTCCCACACAGTAGGTACACACTGTATTATAATGATGGCAAGTCCAGGCACTTGTGATATAAAGATTATTTGATTAAAAAACAGAAAACAGCTAGGTTCTAGACTTGCTTTTGCTAACTAGCCAGAGGCAAATCACTTACCTCCTTGATCTCTGGGGTTCCTCAACTGTAAAATAAAGTCATTAGTGGATTGATTTCTAAAGTCTCTTTTAGCAGTGGAATTCTGTGACCTTCAAGATTTCTTCCTGTTCTTTATGTATCTCTGATTCTGTAGCTCATTTTCTGGGGTTCAGGTGAAATGCTGAGGCTCCCCTGTGCAGTTCTTTTATATTGCAAAAAAGTTTTATAACTCTATCGCCCTATGTTGAAAATCCAGAGAAATTCTCCAACCAAAGTGTTCTCAATTCAAGATCAGACGATATTCACCTTTTCCTTCTTCTTTTCTAGTGGACTCAGATCTGTAGGACAGTTTTTGTTGCTGGGATCTAACATGTCAGAGACTAAATAGTTATTTAAAGCAGGACAGTCTCGTAAAGCTTGTACAGTGTCTTTTATACATTCATCTACTGCAGCTTTATTTTTTAATTAATTTAATCTTTATTATATGCTTTTTCCATTACTACTTAGTCCCCTTATACCGCTCTCCCCCACCCCAGCAATCACCACCTTGTTGTCTAAGTTCATGAGTCCTTTTTGCTTTTTAGAATTTGTATGTCATCCTTGTGCAGGGGCCATGCTAATCTTTTCCATATCGTTGAAATTTTAGTGTATGTACTGCTGAAGTGAGCACTGTACAGTGTCTTTGTACAGTTTGAGAAAAAAGGCGTCGTTTCCTGTGGGCGGATACAGAGCTGTGTTCATGGACTGGATTTCTGCCCCAATTTGTGCTCTTGATTGAGTAATCTTGTACAATGAACAACCTGGCCAACTGGACACTACAGCCCTGACTCAAAGCATCTAAGATCAGAGTTCCCATTTACACTACTTTTGGAGTTTTTGCTAATCAATTTCTTCTCTAGTTGTTCTGTTGACAATGTGCAGAATATGAAACTAGGTATGAGCTGTGATCTATTTACTACTGATGAAGGTGTTCATTCTAGTGTTTAGATGTCTAGTGTTCACCAATATGTTAGGCATCTCTGATAGTTTCTGATACAAAAGAGAATGGGAGAGACTCAGTTCCTTCTTTTAGGATCTTAGAGCTTAGAGGGAGATACAGAAAAGTGAACAGAGACCTTAAAATACAGTGTGAAGAGTACTATCAAGGGGGTTTAAAATAAGGGATATCACAGTGTTTAAAATATCTCTATCCCTTTAGGTTTCTTGATGGAACATAACCTACCTGTGTTGCTATCAGGTCAGATTATTTTAGCCAAATTTTAACTATTAAGTACAGCCAATCCCCATCAATGAATATTATCCTCTATTTAAAAAAAAGTTAATCCCTGCTCTATGTTGAATGAAGGTTTCCATTGTTTAAATATTGTGCATTTTAGGTTATATTGAGGAGATTATATATATATATATATATATATATATATATATATATATATATCCCAGCAATCACCACCCTGTTGTCTAAGTCCATGAGTCCTTTTTGCTTTTTAATTTTTTTTAAAGATTTTATTTATTTATTTTTAGAGAGGGAAGTGAGGGAGATAGAGAGAGAGAAACATCAATGTGCAGTTGCTGGGGGTTATGACCTGCAAACCAGGCATGTACCCTGGCTGGGAATCAAACTTGCAACACTTTGGTTCACAGCCCACGCTCAATCCACTGAGCTACACCAGCCAGGGCTGCTTTTTAAAATTTAATTAAAAATTTTAAAAGGAAATATTAAAATTTAATTTTAATTTTTAGTATTACTATTTATCCAGCTTCTTAAAATGAGAGTATCTAGTCTGTTATATATAGGTTATATATATATCCTTTTATATATATGCTTATATATAGTCTGTTATATATAGGTTATATACATATATCCTTTTATATATATCCTTATATATAGTCTGTTATATATAGGATACATAGCTATATATATCTATATATATAGCTATATATCCTTTTGTGGTCCATTGTATACCTAAAGTCTTTTAGGTAGCAGGATCATTCTTGAAGACGTTGATCCTCAAAGATGATTAAACAAAAAACAAAACAAACAAATCACAATCCAGTTGGCAGGAGAAGAGAACCCCAGATTCTCTCCTGACGGGCTTTGGTGTAGATCTTTGTGATGAGAGATGTCAATCAGTGTAGTGTTTGTGGGAGTTGAGGTTGCTTCTGCCCCTTGTTGATGAGCTGAGGCTGGAAGGACAGACTTGAGTAGTCAGTCCCATGCTGACAGTGAGCAAAAGATACTTGAAAGTATAATATGTAATATCACTTAACTATGTGTGTTATATTCCTTGTTATTCCTTAACCATATCAATGCAAAGTCCACAAAGCTGCTTTCAACTTTCTTTTCTTCTTTAAAAAGTCATTCTTTATCTGATTCTCCCTGCTACTTCTTTCCTCTTTTTGTTTTCCAGAGCATTTTCAAGTCATATAATCATGACAGAAATGGGGAAGGGTTCCTCTGTTATAGTTCCTCCCTGTTGGAACAGTTGTCATGTGGTGTCTCACTACTATGTTATTAGTGCATGCAATTGACACAACAGTATCTGAAGTTCCATGGTTATATGTTGTAAAGCATTCTATTGTATTTTACTAATTCCCCAAGACCAACCCTACTTCATATAAGTCAACTAAGTATGATTGATTCAGACATCTGGCACTTATGGATCCATTTTGCTACAATAACCAGGTGGATGTGGAACCAAACCTGAGGGCATTCTTGGTGCAGGAGAGAAAAAGAGGCAAAGCCAGCCAGTTTGCACAATACTATAAAAGACTGAGGCAGCTTATCTGCATGTCCTGCCATCCTCCTTTCCCCATTAGGCATATGGCAGGGGCTCTTTAACAGCAATGGCCATCTTCCCCTCCCCACCTCTCCAAAGTTACGTGGTGCAATTTTGTGCTGCCTTTTCCTTTTCTCCTCCCATAAAGGTTTCCCCAGTTCTTCATTTTAACCCATTTTTACCTTCATAAAAATGTTAGGAGTAGCTTTATGCCATGTAATTTAGTCTAAGCCAATAACCCATACCTGCACCGGAAATGGCTTTGCCTAAAGTATAAAATGGAATATTTAGAATGAAAAAAGAGGGCCCTCATATAACCATACACACAACTGTTGCATCTCCTGTTTGATAAGCCATCCACTACATTTTAAATTTAATTTTAATTTTTAGTATTATTATTTATCCAGTTTCTTAAAATGAGAGTATCTAGTCTGTTATGCCTCTCTACAAAATACCATAAACTGGAGCTTGGGAAGCTTGTGCCAGTAGATTTGGTGTCTGGTGAGGGCTTTCTGATTAACAGATGGTCATCCTTTCACTGGGTCTTCACATATCGGAAGGAACTAGGGAACTCTGTGAGGCCTCTTTTCTGGGGGTCCTCATGACCTAGTCAGTTTCCAAAGGTGCCACCTTCTAACACCATCACCTTGGGGATTAGGATTCAGGACGTGAATTTTTATGGAGACACATAGCAGAGAGTATCTTCTTTGGTGTAGTCTAAATGGCATGGTAACCTAGACTGAAGCAGGGAACATTCATTAACATTATTAGGTGTCTACCAAATTCCAGGTACAATGCTAAGCTCTATAGTGAAGCATTCACAGGGCTTTAAACAAACCCAGAATGCCAATTTTTTAGTTCTTATGAGGAATATAATTGTAATGCCAGAATGACCATAGGAGTCATTCTTTTGTTTAAGACAGATCAATAGACAAAGACAAATTATAATCAAAAGAGCTAGGTGAGCAGAGATAACAAGAATGCATAATGAATAGAGTCATTTCTACTTCTACTTATTCATTCAACAAATATTCATTGTTTAATGCTGTTTTGATGAAGGTTTGTTTTTGTTTTTATGTTTAATTGAAATCACTCAAAATGTAGAATTATCAAATGCATTTACTTAAAGATTTGTAAGAGTTCTGCCCACAACATTGTACTTACCCAAACCCCAATCATACAATATTGATGCATACTCTATGAAGGCAGCCACAAAATCCTCATCAGCTTATTTTTATCAGAAAGAGAAGATTTGGCTACATTCTGGATTTTTCATTGTAAAAAAGTGAGTTAGACAATAGCATAGGCTGCTGTGAGGTTCACAAGATGCATCCATTGTAGATGACCTTTTTGTGCTCCAGGGTATTTTCCTATTTCATCCCAGAAATAAATTGAAGGTACAATTTTATTTATTCACAAAGTATGTAACTCACATAGGTCTTCAACAAATGAAACCATAATATGCT